TAGGAGGTGGGAGGGAGAGGGGCACTACAGGGTCCTGCGGTGCCAGGAAAACAAATATGTTTTCCTGGCACTGGAGAATCCCTTTAAGAAGTTTGGATTTTAACATTTAATATTAGTTTCCACGCTACCCAAAAATACATTTGTTCAGGGCCGGACTGGGAGAAAAATTCGGCCCGGGCATTTTTTTAACACAGCGGCCCACTAAAAAAGGGGGCGGGGCAGAGGAGGTGTGTTTTGTCATCACCAATGACAAACACGCCTCCTCTCAAAGTGAGCATGTTGGTTCAATGCTCTAGCAGGGCAGACCATGCGCAGAGCTCTGCTGAAGAGCTCTAGCATGAGAAAAAAGTCCTGTATTTGTTCTGCACAGTGCAAGCAAATTTAATAACATGTTTGCACTGTGTTTCCTTGCAACTTGTCTCTGGTGTCTCTATAAATGGATACCAGGAGACAAAAGGCCAGGAAAGAGTATTGTGCATGTGTTTGGAGCCTGCTTGTGGTATTGCGTGTGTGTAGAGTGAGCTGGTCGTGGTGTGGTATTGTGTAATAAGGTTGGTTTTAGTCGTGTTGTGTTTGTGGTGTAATGTGATGCATATGTGGCTCAGGGACCCCCTCCCGCCCGGCTCTGGAAAGGGGTTAAAACTTACCTTTTTCCAGCGCCGGGCGGGGAGCTCTCCTCCTCCGATCCGCCCCGTCGGCTGAATGCGCACGCGCGGCAAGAGCTGCGCGCGCATTCAGCCGGTCGCATAGGAAAGCATTTATAATGCTTTCCTATGGACGCTTGCGTGCTCTCACTGTGATTTTCACAGTGAAAAGCACGCAAGCGCCTCTAGCGGCTGTCAATGAGACAGCTGCTAGAGGCTTTGGGGGAAGGCTTAACCCATTGATAAACATAGCAGTTTCTCTGAAACTGCTATGTTTATAAAACAATGGGTTAACCCTAGAAGGACCTGGCACCAAGACCACTTCATTAAGCTGAAGTGGTCTGGGTGGCTAGAGTGGTCCTTTAAGAGTGTAGTGTGTGTGTGTGTATGTATATGTATATATATATATATATATATATATATATATATATATATATATATATATTTGGAAGTATTGTGTATGTGTGTGGTGCAGTGTGTTGGGGGGGTTCTGTGTGTATGTGAGGGGTGCAGTATGTGTGTGTGTGAGGGGTGCGGTGTGTGTGAGGGGTGCGGTGTGTGTGATGTGTGTGAGAGTGCCGTGTGTGAGTGATGGGTGTGAGAGTGCCGTGTGTGAGTGATGGGTGTGAGAGTGCCGTGTGTGAGTGATGGGTGTGAGAGTGCCGTGTGAGAGTGCTGTGTGAGATGGGTGTGAGAGAGTGCTGTGTGAGAGAGTGCTGTGTGAGAGAGTGCTGTGTGAGAGAGTGCTGTGTGTGTGTGAGAGTGCTGTGAGTGTGATGGGTGTGAGAGTGCTGTGAGAGAGTGCTGTGTGTGTGAAGGTGCTGTGTGTGATGGGTGAGAGTGCTGTGTGAGAGAGTGCTCTGTGAGAGTACTGTGAGAGAGTGCTGTGTGTGTGAAAGTGCTGTGTCTGATGGATGTGAGAGTGCTGTGTGAGAGAGTGCTGTGTGTTTGTGAGAGTGCTGTGAGTGTGATGGGTGTGAGAGTGCTGTGTGTGATGGGTGTGAGAGTGCTGGGTGTGAGAGTGCTGTGTGTGATGGGTGTGAGAGTGCTGTATAAATGTTATTGTGTGTGTGTAGGGGGGGTAAATAAAAAAAAAACAGGCATTAAGTCCCCCCTCCCTTCTTACCTTTTGGCTGTTCCCTGGTGGTCCTCGTGGGTGAGTGAACTCTAGCCTGTGAGGCTAGAGTTCACTCTCGCGAGATCCGGTCATTGCCATGGCAACGCGCCGGATCTCGCGAGAGGCACCCGGCGGAGCTGCAAGTTAGAGCTCCGCCGGGTCCTCTCTCCAGCCTGGCTGGCTCCCTCCCTCTCTCCCCGCCAGCGGCCGCATGTGGGCCGGTCAGGGAGATCCTTGATCTCCCCACCGGCCCGTCGTGGCAAACAGCGGGGCCGGGGCTAGGATAGTGCCGGCCCTGCATAGACCGGCAGGGGAGATCCTGGGACCTCCCCTGCCGGCCTCGGCCCATTGCCACCGCGGCCCACCGGGCATTTGCCCGGTGTGCCCGTGGCCAGTCCGGGCCTGCATTTGTTACATATAGGGATGACTAAAAATCATATTAAACATCCAGGGAAGAGACAGTTCCCCTTTGAAAATATTAGGGTCTAAGGTAATAGGGGAGGTAGAGAAAGCTTAGAATAGAGACATTATGAGTCTGAGTATAAAGCAATATCAAGAATAGAACATGTAGGGAATCTGCAGCCTTAAAGCTAGTTGGCTTTTATATCTTGTCATAATCTATTAGGGATGTGAACAGGAGAGACACACACGAGGGGAAAATAAGATAGATACACAAGAGGGGAGATGAGGAGAATCTCTATTTATCACAACACAATTCTCAACATCTTCATTGTAAAATGCATTATTAATGAGACTTTCCAGGCATACTTGTGAGTTAGTAGCTCAGGTCTTCTTTGGATGTGTAGTCAAACAGTGTCAGTGGGGGCAGCTGCTTTGTTTGTTTCACCGGCAATGTGTTACAGGTAAGATAGCACTTCATTATGTCCCCTCGTGTGCCAATAGTGGGTATTGTATAAAAGGGCTCCTTTCCAGACCATAGCGTCAGGACTTACTCTGTGAACATACATGGGTTTACATTGTATTCCGTGCAGTTAGGTTTAGTACATAATGAAAATACTGACACAAGTTTGATGCTGTAAATTTAAAATAAAACATAGTATCTTATTTTAATACCACATCTCCCGTGAGATCCAGATAAGTGGTGGGTGGGCAGGACATGGTAAGAGATACACAAACAGGATTAGGAGGTATATATTAGACATATTAAAGGGGGCGTATTGGAATATAACCAGGATTGGTGGAATAAGGAAAAAGAAAAATAACTCAGAATCATATGTGCAGTACACAAAATGCTACCATGTATTCAAACACACACAAAAAAACCACATAAAAATGTAACTGTGCATGGGTTGCCTAAACTACATAGATGTAAACACTCTACGCACACACTACACCCCTGCATTCATACATTCAAACTTATTTGTTACATAAGACACTCCTGGATTCACACATCAGTACAAAAACATCTTAGACCTGCATTTGGTTTCAGATGAATTGTACTTTGTCCGAATTTTGGACTATCGGCGGATCATCTGAATTCCGTAACTCCAAAATGTAATATGGATGTATTATGATGCAATGGATAGCACTGATAGCCACTAAATCAAATAATCAAATAATAACTACATAATAAAGAAATTGTCAGGATAGTTGTAACCCAACCCGCAGAATAAAGCCCCACTGGACAAAGAGGACCAATGCTGTCCATTGCATCAAAATGGTTTCATTTTCAGTCAGATGTAACTTACTTTAATTATTTTTAAATCTCCTGATCTGCAGGCTCTAGAAGGCTATTAGAGCAGGAGATAAAAATTCTAAATTAAACAGAATTTTTAATAAAGGTGTAAACATTTGATAACACAGGAAGTGTTTAGCAAGGCTGTGCAAGTCACATTAAGGAGGTGTGGCTAGGGCTTTATAAACAAAGTGCTTTAACTCATAAATGGCAGGGAATTGAGCAGTAATACTGCAGGGATATGATCTATACACCATAACTGCTTCATTAAACTAAAGTTGTTTGGGGGATTATAGTGTCAATTTAATGTACATGAGAGACTGCAGCAACAATATGTCACAAACTGGACTACAGCTTTTTGAACTTTCAAGGTGGTGATCATACTTCAGTTAACCCTTTTACTTTTGATTTAAAAAATATTATTATAACATTTATTTGAAGCAAGTCATGCATAGCTAGTACATAAACATATCATAACACAGCAGTGTTTTGTATAGATTGTTTGCAGACAAACTAAAAAATGTAAGTTATGTAAATGTACACAATTTTTATTTTTTACTTATTCGTTCAATTACTTTTATAAAAATAATTTGGGAAATGAAAAGCTTTATACAGTTTACAGGGTTCTATTCTTGCTATATTTCACACAGCATTTGAAATATTAGTATAAATACATAGAGTTGGAAAGACAAAAATATATAAATAAAGATAGTCAAAAATCTTGCTTACAGGTATTTGTAAGGACCCTGGAGGCATTACTAGTAGTGAAAGTTACTGAAAATGGCAACAGAATGCAAAACTAATGTCTGCATTTAAGTATAATGTCCACATACAGAAATACAGTTAAATCATATATTTTTTAATTATAGGTATTCAAAACTGCTATAACAATATTTATCAATCTCTGGACTGCTCGAGTCCATTCACTTCTCCCCATAGGCGTGCGCACGGGGTGTGCCGGGTGTGCCTGGGCACACCCTAATCCCCGTGCGCACCCCTATGGTTTGAGTCCTGCAGGAACAGCGTTCCTGCACTCTTTTGAGCAGGAACGCTGTTCCTGCAGGCACTCAGTGCCCCCTGTTTCACCTCTTGCCCCTGTCATGGGAGGGCAAGAGGTGATGATTCCCCCCCACCTCCCCCACCTTGCAGGTCAGCGCGCGGCGAGGGAGCTCTCTGCTCTCTGCTTCCTCTCGCCGCGCGCTGATGCCGGGAGCCGGAATATGACGTCATATTCCGGCTCCCAGCTCGAGCAGACAGCCCGCGCGGCGAGAGGAAGCAGAGAGCAGAGAGCAGAGAGCAGAGAGCTCCCTCGCCGCGCGCTGAGCTGCAGAGAGGCGCCCGCCCCCACTGGACCCCAGGGACAAGTCCACCAGCACTCCAGGTAGGAGGCTGGGTGGACATTTAAAAAAAAAAAATTAAAATATAATTATTTGTGTGTGTCTGTGAGTGTGTGAGTATGTGTCAGTGTGTCAGTGTGTGTGTGTGTCAGTGAGTGTGTGTGTGTGTGTCAGTGTGTGTGAGTGTGTGTCTGTGAGTGTGTGTCTGTGAGTGTGTGAGTATGTGTCTGAGAGTGTGTGAGAGTGTGTGAGTATGTGTGTGTCAGTGTGTGTGAGTGTGTGTCTGTGAGTGTGTGAGTATGTGTCTGTGAGTGTGTGTCAGTGTGTGTCTGTAAGTGTGTGAGTATGTGTCTGTGAGTGTGTGTGTCAGTGAGTGTGTGAGTATGTGTCAGTGTGTGAGTGTGTGTGTGTCAGTGTGTGTCAGTGTGTGTCTGTGAGTGTGTGAGTATGTGTCTGTGAGTGTGTGAGTATGTGTCTGTGAGTGTGTGAGTATGTGTCAGTGTGTGTGTCAGTGTGTGTCTGTGAGTGTGAGTATGTGTGTGTGAGTCTGTGAGTGTGTGTCAGTGTGTGTCTGTGAGTGTGTGAGTATGTGTCTGTGAGTGTGTGTGTCAGTGAGTGTGTGTGTGTGTGTCTGTGAGTGTGTGAGTATGTGTGTGTCAGTGTGTGTGAGTGTGTGTGTCTGTGAGTGTGTGTGTGTTTCTGTGAGTGTGAGTGTGTGTCTGTGAGTGTGTGTGTCTGTGAATATATATATATATGTATATATATATATATACACACACACACACACACACACACGCGCGCGGCGTGTGTTTGTGCTTTAGGGTGCACACCCTAATGCAATAGGCTGCGCACGCCTATGCTTCTCCCCCCTCTTTGACTGTAGGAATGGTATCACCCAGAGAAACTTCCTGTACAATTTGAAAGCAAAGGGTGAGCTTACAATTTCAACAACTTTTAATTCATTATATCAGTGACTAAGTGGCTTCTGGAAGAGAACTTTGTTCCTATACAGGCTGGTAATCATAACTAGAGTATAAATGAGGGAAATTAGACTTTATGAACTAGATTTCATGCAACATGTAAACATGTAAAACACATGAAAATGAAAACATTCCACAACCACCCATATATAACAGGAGGCAGCGGAACTATGACCTGTACTGACTACGGAGCAGCAAAGAAAAAGGAAATAGTTAGTTGGGAGAAGCCTTTTATAGATTCCTGATTTTTTTGTCTCTGGTGTTTTTATCTCTATGTTAATGTGCTGCTGTGGAGTTCTAGTAAAGAGAGACTTAAGCAAATATGAAGCCTCCTGTCATGCTATAAAATTAAAAAGGAGTTAAACAACTATGTGATAATAAATGGCCTCTTATGATAACTATCCTTCCATAAAAGACCTTTTTTTGCATGATCAGTCTTATTTTTTAAAATCAATGCCAACATTTCACAATTTCTGCCAGGGTATGCAAACGTTTGAGCACAACTGTATTATAGCATCATTGGCACTCTTCTGTTCTTTTACCCGGCCTCTCCTATTCTCCTACCCTTCTTTTGTTGTGTACCCAGGCACACTACCCCTTTTAGACTATTCCTTTCTCTGGCCTTTCCCTTGATATTTTATTTCTCTTTTATTCTATTTATTTATCACTTCCCTCCTCCCTCCCTCGTTTATTCATTTTCTGATCCTTTCTCAGAATATACTCATTGGCACACTGGTTAGGCATCACTCAGGCTCAACACCATGGCCATGACCGCATAGCATTGTCTCCCACCTCGTACTGAGTCCCCGACCGGTTGCAGAAGCTATTCGCTTCCTATTACCTCCCACCATTACTTTCTCTGGTTAACATGCCGCTCCCCACCTCCCTAACTCCCACCTAAACTGGTTATCCTTGTGGAAGACCTGTAAAAACACTCAAAGTGACATCAAGTGTCTATTGAGAACCCAATCTTATATGATTTGCAATCCTGATGCGTTTCACTATGGTAACATTGGCCTTCTGAGCTATATAGTGCAGTTCTTTGAGTGTCTATGTTTGCAGTTCATCATCAGAACGTTTGTAATTTCTTGTATTGTAAAATTCTACATAAAAAAAAATGCATGTATATATAAAAAAAAAAAATTAGATTATGGTGCTAACCTTGATTCACCTCATTAGCCTATTTCATGATAACAGCAGGTGTTCATAATACTTTATGCACGCAGCCCATTTTGTAAAATCATTCAAATACCTTTTCATACAGACAACTAGGTCATCTTTGACAATCACAGTACTGGGTGATTATATTATTGCATTGTGCTCTGTCATATTATATTTTATTTTTTCTTAAGTTTTTTTTTTTTTGTTCTTTAGATTATGCCTAGTAACTGCAAATTCACAGCTGGGTGTTTTCTTTCTGGCATTTGATGATTTGGTTCCTGGAGATAAATGTTGTAAGTAATTTTATTCCATTTTAAAACATTTTTACTGCAAATCTCTACTTGTCATTGAAATCTGTTTTACATGAACAATTAAAACATAAATTAACTTACTTAAATAATTTCATATACCTAAACAAGGCATCTTTTTCTTAGCAGGCACTTAAAAAAGTCTAACTAGAAATACACATATAAAAATGTATCAATATTTTCAGAGGTTATTGAAATAGTATTCTTAAAGTATTGACTTAAATAAAATGTATCAGCCCCTGTGTCAATGTAGTTGGGTATCCAGTCCCCATACTAATAAGCAGTGCTGGTTAATTATGCGGAGTGTCTTTTTGTTCCAAACTTTCGTGTACATTTATTGATGAGTTTCTGTTATAATCATTTACCGTAATTACTCGAATCTAGTGCGCACCTCAATTTTTGAAACCTGGAAGTTGAAAAATTTTGCTGGTGAATGTAATGCACATTTATACAAGAAGATACTACTATACAACATTGTACCACAATGAAAATGTTTATCGTCATACACTATAGAAACATTGATGGTATTTAAATGTTAATGCCTGAATGAAATTCGCCTGAATGAAATTCGCCTGTGTAAAGTCGCCTGTATGAATTTTCCTGTGTGATTTCGCCTGTCTCAATTCACCAGTTTGATGTTGCCTATTTAAATTCACCTGTCTGAATTCACCAGTTTGAATTCATCTGTGTGAATTTGCCAGAATGAAATTTGCTGGAATGCAATTTGTCATAAAATTTAGAATTTTACCCAGAATGTAATGTGCAATCAAATCTATTGCTCATTCACATTTTGAATATTTTATTTTCCAAAAAAGGTGCACATTAGATTTGAGTAAATATGATATATTGTGCCAAACATTTTCCACAGAAATTTACAATTATAAAATGTGGATATTTGAAAAGTAATTTACATACAGAATATAACGAGAGCTGACGAGAAGTGAAGAAGGCTCCACTTAAACAAGCTAACACTATATGAGGAATGGGTAAATACACACAAGAAAAATAATGGCATGTCCGAGGGGAAAGGGATAGATGCTTGTTTTGAAAGCTAGTAAAAGTGGTATGTGGAAGAACTGAACAGTGGCACTAGAGAGGGTGAGCCGGGCTATGGAGTTGAAGGAACTAATGAGGTCAGTGAAATAAAAGGATCACCTAGGAAGATGGTAAGCTTTTTATAAAGAGGTGTGTTTTCAGGAACTTCTTTAAGAACTGGAGGCTAGAGGAGAATCTGATGGCACGGGGTAGGAAATGCCAAAAGAACAGGGCAGCCCTTGAAAAAAATCATGCAGATGAGAGTTGGCAATGTGGGAATGAACAGATTCATTTGCAGAATAAAGGGAGCAAAAATAGGTATATTTGTTGAGCAAAGAGGAAATGTAGTGAGGTGTGGAGTTAGGGCTTTGTAGGTTAGTGTTATGGGAGGAGAGTTGTGACATACTACAGCATTCAAAACTAGAATGGCACAAATAATAATCACTATCTTACTCGTCCAGAAATTACAGTCTACACTGAGATGTTGCAGCAGCTCCTCATTCTGGACAAACCAAAATAAATAAAGAAGGCCAAATCCCATATGGAAAAATATATGTGCTACAAGAAAATGCTATATTGGCCTTAAACCAATATTAATATTATTATTTATTATTATTGGCATTTATATAGCACCAACTTATTCCACAGCACTTCAAAATATCATAAAAGGAGAAAATTTAATAAAAATGAGACAATTACAAAATGTTACATGAACAATAGGTTGATGAGGACCCTGCTCAAACAAGCGTACATTGGAGAGGAAGTAGTGTATAAAAAAAACTCAATAGAAATGACATAGAGTGGGAAAGCAACCAAGTGACATGGTGGCAAAGTGGCAGAACTAAAAGGTGAGAGTGAAGTGTGGCCCTTTAAGAAAGAGCAAAAGACAGGTTTGTGAAATAGAAGTTGCTCTGGGAGGCCATACATTTTTCTGAAGAGATGGGTTTTAAAGGGAGTTCTTAAATGACTGAATACTAGGGAAGTGTCAAAGATAAGGAGCTGCATGTGGGAAATCCAGCATTTGAGAATTAGCAGTAAAGGTGCAAGCAGTAGACAGGAGAAGGTTTAACAGCTGGGTATTTTCTTTCTGGCATTTGATGATTTGATTCCTGGAGATAAATGTTGTATATAGAGTTTAGCGGACACCTGGATATTCGGGTCCGGCAGGTTCGGCCGAACTTCGAAAAAAAGTCCGGGTTCGGGCTCAAACTTGACCCTGAATTTGACCCTAAACCTGAACCCCATTGAAGTCAATGGGGACTCGAACTTTTGGGCACAAAAATGGCTCTAAAAAAGTCCTGGAAATGGCTAGAGGGCTGCAAAAGGAAGTAAAATGGGGGTAAGAGTAGGTCAAGTGCCCTGCAAACAAGGGTGGATAGGGAAATCACTTAAAATAACATAAAATAAGCAGCTGCTTAGTAGATAACTCTCTAATTCCCACGGTATTAGGGAGCTATCTACCAAAAGACTGAAAGGCCTAAATTGGTCTTTCAGCCAAATTTACATTTACTAAGTAAAGATTAGTTAGTATTAGTAAATTCAGCCCCTACTCACGGCGGGTGGGAGGACAGTAGGTCCCCCTCTTATTGTTATTTAGGGCCCCCATCTGCCGTGCAGGGGTGGGGTTCAGGGGGGAGGACAATAAGCCCCCCCTTATTGGTATTTAGGGCCCCCACCCACCACTCAGGGGTGGGGGCCAGGGGGGAAATAGGTCCCCCCTTTAGTTTAAAAGCCCCCACTCACGCATCGCGGGTGGGTGCTCAGGAGGGGGGGAATGTTTTTTTTTGTTTTTTTTTTAACAGTGAGCAGCCACAGGTTTAATAGACATGCCCCTACTCGCGGTATAGCGCGTAGGGGCATCATTTAATAATACTAAGTAACCAGCTTATATAGAGGCTGGGTCACATGCTGCACTGGCCAATCACAGCCATGCCATTAGTAGGCATGGCTGTGATGGCTTCTAAGGGCACTCGAGTCAAACGCTTGTTGATTGGCTGCCCTGCAGCCTTTCAAAACTCATCATTAAATTGCCGAAC